CCGATCTTAATTTTTTTTCAGGACTGACACAGGAAACACAACATTTTTTTCCTAGGCCCTAGGTTCTGAACATACAGCTTCTGATGGAGGAGGCTGGACTGTGTTCAGGACTTGTATACACTGTATTGATTTGAACAAGGATGTTTGTTACATGTACGTGTGAGGAGAAACATCATCACATTTATATTTAATATATGTCATCTGATCTTATCAGTCAGTGCAGGTGTGTAATAATACTAATATGTACCCCAGGCCATAGAAGTGAATTATTGTTAGGGCTTGTCTGTGTGTGTGTGTGTGTGTGTGTGTGTGTGTGTGAGTCTGTGTTCATGTGTCTGTCTGTCTGTATTATACAGTTTTTCAGCGTTTCTCCATACGTTGTTCATTTGTCTCAATTATACACACAAAGCAGCATTGCCATATGTCATTTTCAGCTTTGAGTCAGGATATTTGTCTTCTGTTTCGTAGTATTTAGTCCATTCTGTAAGTAATGCACTTTTATTTTTCTAAAGCTGGACACAAATCAAATATCAGAAAACTTCAAAGATCCAGTAAAACACAGAGCCCCACCCTCCATCTGCTTGTAGCCAGCCCTGGGCAGACCAGCTGACCAGCCAGCTGGAAGAGTTTGTTTACTCCATGCTGACAGTTTGTTTACATTAGACAAAGCGTTACATGTAACATGTAAACCACCACAGGAGGGTGGCCAAAAGGTACTCTCCAAGCAGAGGTGTGGTTTTGGGGTTATTTTTGGCGTATTTTCAGAGTTTTTTATCGTTTTTTTTTTTTGCACTGGATTTTTTCTTTCACCAGTTGCAACAAATGTACATTAATATGGTCAGACAACAGGATTCATATGCATTAAAACATCATTACCATATAAAGTAAAGGCTTACAGGGTCTTTGGCCAGTATCTAATAGTATATTATCCTGTATTCATCAGGTTTTTATGTGCTCGTATGTGGGGCTACTTTTCTTAGTACCTTCCCTTGTTAAAATTCTAAATACGTCAAGTACAAATACGTCGCTATTCTGCTCGCTGTAGGCAATAGACATTCTGGTTACCCTCAGCCTGCTAAGGTAGCTGTTTGGTACCAAATTTGTACAGGTTAGGGGTTAGGCAACAGGGAGAAGGTTGATATAACTAATTATAAGGCAAATCATTGTATCTACATGTATCTATATCTAACAACAAAGATACAAATTGACAATGCCTAACACTACTTAGTGAATTTGCTAAATACACCTTATTTCTGTACATGTAGGTGATTTAATATTCCCCATTTCTACCTTGCACAGAATGACAAATTCCCTCCTCCAGGCTGGGACTACAGATATTAACATCACACAGTCATCATAAGTCATGTGAAATTAGCCAGAGATATACATGTACTCATTAAGCAGTCAGCATATGATTTGTGAGTCAGGGAGAATAAATACAGGAATAAAACCAATTCAAATACTGTCCTCTACATTGATTTTAAGGTCTTTGTATATACGTTTAGTTATGAATTGATTTGAAAAAAAGAAATTGAACTGGACTTTCTGGCCTGTGGGAATCAGTGTGCAAATACAGGCTGGTATATTTACATGCTGTCTATCTTATCATTATGTATTCACAGGGCCGTAATTTTCACAAAAAAATAACACAAAGCCAAAGATCTTTAGCATTGGAATTTTGAATGTAAATAGAGAGGAACTGAATTGCATTGTGTGGGTGAACATGAATCAATAAACTGTACCACCAGAATGTAAACATCATAATGAGGAATTACTATCTAGTAATGACTTATCAACCACACCCCCTCCTTCCCAGCCTCATGTATATATATAGTTTATCCCTCCCATCTGTTACTCATGGCTGCAGGTCACACATGTGTCAGTGTGTACAGGCATGCTGATGGGGGTTCTCTCACATGTTTATAACTGTATCAGCTACAGCCTACAGGATGGGCAAAAAAGTAGTACAGTATCTGAAACTATTTACCAAACTACCATGGTCTGCTGGAAAACAAAATGTGGGAAAATATCCTTAGCTAATAAATAATAGTGGTAATATGGCAGAGGGGTTCCAAAGTGATCATGATGGCTGGCTAACTCCTCTGACATATTTGATGTTATTCAGTATTTCGCCGATTCCCACTATTTTCCGACATCCCAGTGAGTCTTATCACTGAGACTAGCAAAAAAGGAAAAGGAAACAAAACATGGACTTCCTCCTTTTGCCTCCCATTGGGACTGATTTATAGTGAATCAGCTGCTTCCTGCAGGGGGGAGAATTCTCATAATTCATGGACAAAACACCCCATAGTGACTGCTGGGCAGGAGGTGAAGCTGATATCCAAATCCAGCAGCAAAACACAGATTCAATATCACATACAAGCTATAAGTTTCTCATATAAACAACATGCTGCGGTGTTTGGAGATGTAAATCCATGACCTTTTACAGGGTAATACAGAGGGACTCATGCAGGAAATGCAACAGCAGTCTTTTGCTAGCCTCTACCAGGCACTGCAGATCGCTGGAAAAACAGTACTAAGAAATTGGTCGAAATAAAGCATACCATGCCAGGGGAGTTAGCCGTTCAAAGATGACGGGTCAAAGACCCACACTGGCCACAGGTCAATTTCTACTATTTTTTCAGCGACCCGAAGTGCCTGGAATCTAGGCTAGTCTTTTTCTATAAGCTGGGAAAATATGGTAGTTATTTTTACATGCAATTTAAACACCTATAATTTGAGTATAAACACATAATCAATTAACAAGGAAGAAAGCAACACGGATGGAAATAGGACTAATTGATGTAGATGGAATAAAAACGCCCGTGTGAGGCCTGGCATTATGATAGAGTAATTATGAATTCATGATAATATATTAACCTGGGCTGAGTAATCAAAGGGAAATGATACTGATACCATAATGTGGTAATCTTCATAAATAAATAAATAGTGTAAAAAAAATACCAAAAATTTCAGTCATAAATGCAAGAAACACTGAAAGCCTACACAGAGAAGAAGCTGTTTATATGGTGTTTCTGGCATTATGAGAGAGTAATTATGAATTTATAATATTGACCTTGGCTGATAAATCAAGACAACATGATACTGATACAACGCCAGTCATAAATGCAAGAAATGCTGACAGGTTATTGACAACTGACTGAGAAGAGTGTACATGTGTGGTGGTGTGTGTGTGAGTGTGTGTGACTGTGTGTGTGTGTGTGTGTGTGTGTGTGTGTGTGTGTGTGTGTGTGTGTGTGTGTGTGTGTGTGAGTGTGTGTGTGTAGTAGTACGTACGTAC